GATGGAGGGTGGTGGTGTAGTGAGGAGATGGGGTGGGTGAGGTGTCTGGGGGGGTGTAAATAATTAATATATATTATATTATAATTTAATATTTAATAAATCTATTTACCACTTGATTTTTGAAATAATTATACAAATTTGTTAGTTTTGAAAAGTAATTCTTATATGCAGGTTTTGTGTATTGTTCCCATAATGAAATGAAATGGGCCAAGTGGGACTAATGGGTCGATTTCAAAGCCCAAGATAAGGTTGTTCCATTTAATAGGCTCAATCCAATTGAATAATCAATGTCAAGTCGATATATGTGGGATGCTTTCCGTTATGCGAATGCTACGTAATTTATAGATATAACATGAACTATCGGTTGTCATCTCATTCTGTCCCACATTTCTTTCGGAAATCTTCTTTGGCTGCATTTCTTCCTGTGATTCTGATACTGTTCTTTAGACACCTCTATGTAAAAAGGATATAATAATATAAATTATCCTGCTGATTATATTCTTCCATATGGAACTCAGATATGAGAATGATTCTTGTCAAATTGAATAAATTGTCTGCAAACCTGGTTAATCCCTATATTTACAATCTAAGTGGTCATCTTTGTTTTCATTGACATTGGTGTGTATGTGATATCTGCAGCAAAGTATGCAAGCTAATACACGGTACAATTAGTTCGGTCTCATCATGGCTAATTCTTTCATGTATATGTTATCAATAAAAATGTGTAGGGGATTAGAAGCGAGCCTATGTACTTATTGGCAAACATTATAAAGAACCATATCACATACGAACTCGAGACAAGGCTAGTAAGCACTAATAATGTGAAGTGAACATAAAAGCCAACATACTTTAATCAGCAGAAACCGTTATCGATAAATGAGAAACACGTGTACTAGTGAATAAAAACATGACAGGCTAACAAATCCAGTTAAAAATGAACTAATCAAAAGTTGCCATGTGTCCTTAACAGAAAAGACTCGATTGCCACCATGACCTCATCAGAAATCTATAAATAGAAATAGTTGAGAACAGGTAAAGACATGCAAGTCTGAATATTCTCCTTTCAAATAGTCATTTGTGTTCTTGCTCCTGCTTGAATACAGATCAGTGAGTTTAGGAAGAGAAATTTAGGCTAGGTGAGAAATTTGTTGATCACTTTTTCGAGGTAACAGCCTACACTATCAGAAAGCCAACGGATGAAGAAGTTGCAAACTCATATTGGTGTGGGTTTCAATAATGTACTCCCTTTTGACAAAATATTTTGGGAGAAAATCTTGAAAAACCTCTACACAAAAGGTTATATGTACCTTTTGTTTAAAAGTTTATAAGTTTCTGAATGCGATTTATGGTATTATAACCTTAATGAGACATTCTCTAATTTTGTGATTTTACGATATTGTGTAGGTGCAACGATGGTTCCCATAAGTTGGACAGAGATGCAGTGTCCTTTAACAGGTCAAATTGAGCAGAGAAAAGTTGCTAAAATTGGAGCTTGACTAATGAAAGCTCTTGAAAAAACTGCTTTGCATGGTTGTAGTGTTTCACAAATATTTAGAGGACTTTTCATTGTTTTGATATAACCATGAACAACTACTTTTTGACTCTGTTTTGAGATCTAATGTTAACTGTAAATGTGAAATGGACTTTCCTTTTCCCTACACAGAAATAGAAAAGAAAACACAACTTTTTTGCTTCACTGGAAAATATCAAATCCTTAACATGGGAGAACTGAAAATAGCCAGGAACCCTCGAAAACTAACATAATCAACATTAAGTCAATAAATAAGCCTTGTATGACACATTCGGTCTCAGAAATTTCTAAACAGTTATGTAAGAAAAAATATTTTCGAACCCAATAAATTTCATAAAATATGGAATTATTATACATAAAATTTGGATGAAATTATAAATACTGAAAACAGAGAAATAAAGAACGGGAAAAACGGAAAAAGCAAAATTACAAATGAAAACAAAAGGAAAAGGAAAAATTAAAACATAAACTCAAGGGGGAAGAGCAAAAATGTGAATATTGTAGGCAACGAAAGATGTAATACTTTGTTGGAACAACGAATTTTTTTTTTTAAAATTATTTTGAACCTTCTTCCCAGAGATAGAAAATGCGATTTTAAGATATATATCGTTCAATCGGGATTATATTTATAGGATAACCAAGGAGTGATTTCTGTTGGCTATCTTCATTTATGGAATGTAGATATTCTCATCGTAAGGAAAGAAATCTGTCGTAATTTTGAGCCCAAATTGGAAAGTAGTTACTCTCCATGATGTGGGAAAAAAAGAAAAAAAAATGCTTGTCGTACATCACCATTGAAATATTCTTCTGTAGATTGATGAAATGACGATAAATTGAATTAAAAGTCTCAAAATCTCTTCACTACTTAAATTGTTATGTTATGTAAAGTGGGTTAGTGACATAAAGTAAGAATTTTTTATTGATGAGATTTTAATTCAGTCAAATGACTCAAATCTCGTCATAAACAAATCTTTAAGTTGTGATGTTTATGTAGCACAATCTAGGAGAAAAATGTCATAATTTCAAAAAGAGGGGATTTGTTGTGTTAATTTATTTTACTGTTGGCTATCTTAATTAAATAGAACCCCAAATGGAAAGTAGTCATTCTCCATCATGAGGGAAGAAAACGGTCATAATTTCAAAATTGATGAAAATTTGGAGGGGATTTGAATTATTAATTATTTTACGGTTGGCTCTGTTCATCAAATAGAAGCCCAAATTGGAAAGTGGTTTTTCTTCATAGAAAACGATCATAATTTTAAAATTGATGAAAAAATCGGTAGATCAGACGTATATTGTTTCAAAATGTAATTTTTGTATGGTTACATTCCACTAATTTGGCACATTTCATATTTAAAATCCAAAATTGAAGAAAACTAGTCTAACTCATTTCAAGCGTCCCAAACTAGGCTCAACCCAATGAATATCTTTAAGAAAAATTGAAATCATTAATTTGAGTACAAGCATCCAGTTAAGGTGTTCAATTAAGGATTTGTAGTTAGCTCCCTCATTTATTGTTGTGGCAAAATTGTTCGTACTCGTTTAAATTCTGTTTTCAATATGTTTTTTATAGATTTAATTTTTTATTAAAATCAAAAAGTGTACAATTTTCATAAACGAGCGAGAGAAAGATTTGAACCAACCTACATATATAAAATCCAAACTATTAAAGAGGCATATATTTCATTCGAAAAATAAAAATAAAAAATTATGGAATTAAACGATTCTAGGAGCACGTTCAAACTTGCTGATGCACAACCTTGATTCACGGTCAATAACGCAAAGCAGTGGGTGTTGTTGGCACAACTAAATTTTTTATGACATTTATTTTATTTTATCCTATTTCATTGTTTCAAAAAAATTTCCGTTGTCACCCCCACCCTTGGATTACAAGACCTGGTTTCATGGGATGCCTTACTATATAGTACAGAAAGGGACATCGTGCGGCAGTAGTCTGCTAAGTCCTGGTTTCATGGGATGCCTTTCTTTTTAGTACAGAAAGGGACATCGTGCGGCAGTAGTCTGCTCCACTATACTACTTTCCACCTTTTCTCGGTCGTTTCGTGACGAAAGAAAATTTGATTACGATTTGTAGAAAACTTGCAACATAAAATTGAGATGCATTGAAAGTAAAGTGATTATTGATTGCTTGAAAGTTAGAAATTACAATTGATGAAAGTAGAAAATTACAATAGCTGGTGCAGGGGGCGAACATTAGTAAATTTGAAAGATTTTTGAATGACTAATACCTCCTATAATAGCTTGCGGAACAAAAACTTAAGTGAGATGAGTAGACGTTTAAATGGCGAGGAATCATGCTAAACGTTTATCAATATCAGAGTTATTTTACAATTGAATGGAAATATTACAATGGAAAGGAGATTACAAGTCAAATTGAACTAATATTTGCAATGTGCGACCAAAGTTGGGAAAACTGCGACTGCGATTGGGTTGAAATTACAACTCAAACTTGAAATAATATTTACAATGTGCGGCCGAAGTTGGGCAAACTGTAGTTGCGATTAGGTCAAGGGGTTTAAGTAAAGTTGCGGTCCTTGACATTCTCCCCCATTTGTTTTGGCGACGTCCTCGGAGCCATCGATGAATGATATGCTTCAATTAATGGTTTGAAGGCTCCAAGGTCTTTTTCTCTTTCTCAAGTATTTTCCTCGCTGCTACATCCGCTCTATTTGACCAAGTACTTTTGATGATATTTTTTGGAAACTCAAGTAGTTCAATGGTTAAGAATCTTTTCAGCAACCTTCTTTCCTGCTTTTTTTAGTTCAAATACAGGTCGTTTTGGCTCATTTCTGGATGCGTCCTCCTTATCGTCAAAATATGGCTTGAGTACACCAACATGAAGGACTTCGTTGATTTTGTACCATGAATGGAGTGCAACTCTATATGCGACTCTTCCAATCTTTTTCACAATGGGTAATAATCCAATATATCGGTTTATAGCAGTTTCTGTCGGAGAGTTTAACCATTACCATATCTCCAACATTAAATTCAAGGAAACTACGCTTTAGATCTGCAGACTTTTTGTACCGTTTCTAAGCATTCTCAAAATAACTCCGAGTAATTCCAATGTTTTGTTTCCACTCTTGAGAGAAGCTTTTTGCTTGAAGAGACTTGATACTTCGATATGTATCCACATTATGAGGGAGTAATGGTGTAATAATCTCGAAAGGACTCTTATTGGTTGAAGATCTCTTTTGGGCATTGAAACACATCCGAGCTACATCCAAAAGTTTCACCCAATTTTTCTTCGAAGTGAGATAAAGTGTCGAAAATATTCTTCCAACATAGAATTGAAGGGCTCTGTTTATCCGTCAGATTGTGGGTGAAAACTAGAACTCATGCTCAAAGTTGAACCAAGAAATTTGAACAACTTGATCTAAAATATGCCAATAAATCGAGAATCCTGATCACTGATGATGTCTTTAGGCAGTCCCCAATATTTGACACTCTGTTTGAAGAAGAGTTGAGTCGTCTCTTCAGCTGATACATACTTGGGTGCTGCAATGAAAGTTGTATACTTTGATAGACGGTCCACCATGACGATGATAGTGCCAAATGGTCTATCGATACACTCTCAAATGGTCTAGTTGGGATGGAAAAGGGCTCCAACAAGCCTGCATTTTTCTGATGACCTGTCTTATCTTACTGACAAACAATACAAGTTTTCACATAAGTTGCAATGTCGTCCCGCATTTAAGGCCAATAGTTTGCACGTTGTAGTAGTACGAAGTGCGTTCTTCTCTGGGATGCCCTGCCCAAATCATGTCGTGGCATTTTGAGTGATTTCTTCAAATCTCCGCCTTTAGAGACATATAGGCGGTCTCCCTTAATCTTCACTAGACCCCCATCGAGGTAGAACTGTCGAGTTTTACCATGCTTAATGAGGTCGACCAAATATTGAGTAGCCGGGTCCTTATCCAAAAGCGCCCAAATTTGATCCCTTATAGTTGTGGTAACCGTGCTCTCTGAACGAGTAGCCATAGAGCAAATGGCGGCCAAGTCGGCCCACCAACTAAGAGCATCAACAACATGATTACTAGATCTGGGACGATATTCCAACTTAAAGTTGAATTCTGAAAGAAGTTCCTACGAACGAGCTTTTTGCTTGATAGTTTCGGTTAGGACATGAAGTGAGTAACCGCAATGTTAGCTTCACAATAAATGGAGACCCAAAAAATAGTAACGTCATCCTCTAAGGCAATGGACTACCGCCAACAACTCCTTTTCATGCGCAGAGTAGCGACGTTCTGCTTGGTTCAGCCTTTGGCTCTCATATGCTACCGGATGTCCTTCTTGCATAAAGACTCCACCAAGTGCAAAATCTGAAGCATCTGTATGAACTTCAAACGGTTTGGTCATATCCAGTAAGGCTGACATTGGGTTTGTCCACATAGACATCTTCAACTTTTCAAAAGCAGATTGGTATTGGGATGACCAGTCCCAATCCTTATCCTTATTTGTCAATTCGGTAAGTGGCAGTGCAATTTCTGAGTACCCTTTCAAAAATCGTCAATAGTAATTGCATAACTCGAGAAATGAACGTACATCGAGTACATTTTTTGGTGGTTGCCAATCTTTGATGGCTGTAACCTTCTTCGAATCCGTGCATGTTTTACCTTGTTCAATGATGTGACCCAAAAACTGATGGACATCCGAGCGAATGAGCATTTAGACGGTTTGACATAGAGTTTATTCTCTCGCAGCTGATTGAAAACCTGTCTGACATGTTGCACATGTTCCTCCAATGTCTCGCTGTAGATTACCATGTCGTCCAAGTACACCATCACAAAATTGTCTACGAACCTACGAAGCACTTGATTCATCTCGTGCAAAATGTCACTGGGGCGTTTTTCAAGACAAAAGACATCACTTTAAATTCAAATGCTCCAATCTTGTTACCACAGTAGTCTTTGCTTCATCTCCTTCTTTGATTAAATGGCATCA